AAATTAAATAAAATTCCATGGTCCACACAGAACTCACTAATGATAAGTGATAACAATGCCTTCATATAAAACTTGTGATAGCGGTGGAAAACAATTAAGATTACGAAGCCTCACACAAGAAAGTGTTCGTCCTGGTGCAACTGGGTAAAAGCGTTTCCTTCCCAGATAGACTCTGCAAGGTAAAAGACATGAAAAAACCAAAATGCCAATCAAATAAAGTTTCAGTACAAATATTTCTCGATTGGAACTAACTACTAAGGACTTCAAACTTAGTTCATGGACAAAACCACATGGCCCTTCCAAACTTGTGAATGAGAACAATAATATGGAACTTGAGAAACAAAAGGGGAAAAGAAATAAAAATGGAGAGAAGAAAAAAAACCTTATGTACCTCCTCGACAAAGAACTATGAGTAGCTTTCATGAAACGTCTGGAATAATGATCTCAGGGATGTGTTGTACCTTTCCATGATCCACCCCTCCTTTTCATATAGAATCTACAAGTTGCTCTGGTACAAGCTCCAGTCTCAATGTTTCTAGTTTAGTAAGGTATTGAAGACCTTCTGGCAATGTGTTTAATTCTGTGCAGTCATCAAGGGACAAGGATTGGAGATTTGGCATCACCCCTTTTGCTATTGTTATCATATTCAACAAGGGGAAGATAAACAATTGCAAATGAGTAAGCTTTTCAAAGCCGCTTCTGAAACACAACTCTTTGCCAACATATGCATTCATAAGTGTAAGCTTTCCGAGATTGGGCAATTCTTCAATGTAAGGTAGTAAATCTTCCTCAGGTCTAGACCAATGTAGATACATATATGTGACGCTCTGAAGTGAGAAAAACCACTGTGGTACCTTTTTTAGTCTGCCGACCAAAATAACCATTCGAAGGTAGGGAGGAGGTGACCGTAGGGCATTTACTTGAAGAGCTTCTTCTTCATCACTTGCCATTAAAAACAAGTAGTGAAGGAGCTTCATCTTTTGAATTGAGGCACACAGGTCCTTCTCGTCTCTTTCTTTTACATTGGTAATCCCAATCCTGGTAAGTTGAGTCATATTTCCCACGAGTCTAACAATGTTTCCTTCTAATTCAACACATGTTAAGACTTGCAATTTCTTGAACGTACATATGTTTGCTGGTGCTCTTGTCCCATTGACGTATCTGAAGCCCTTATGCTCTCTAGTGTAACGGTACATGATTAGATGGCACAAGTTTTTCAACTTTGAAATTCCACTTGGAAGTGCCTCTATCTTTGTGTTCCGGATATCCAAAGTTTGAAGGTTGTGGAGCTTTCCTATGGATTCTGGGAGCTTTTTAATTGGAGTTGCCCTTAAATTCAAATATCTTAGGTTGAACAAGTACACAACTTCTTTTGGCAGTATATCAATTGGGACATATTCCAAATCTAGAACCCTCAACAATTTGAATCCAGAAGGCAATGTATTTGAGAATGACAATGAGGCCGTGTCAGTAACAAACACAAGAAAAGAACGAAGTTGTGACATACCAGTGCAAAATTTAATTTTTCCTTCAGTGGTTTGAGTTGACAAGCGGCGTGCTCGAACTTCCTCCATTACTTCTCTTCCATCATATACAACACAAAATTTTTCTCTTTCTGATATAGAAAGAGCAAGCTCCCGCATAAGGTCATGCATCTTACATGCCTTTGGCCTTCCAGTTTCATTCCTCCAAACGACATGCAGCATGCCACGGAAAATGAGCTCCATAAGATAGCCCTCTGCAACTTCTTCTAGTGTGATCCCTTTGACATGTTCAACAACCCTTCTGCTATCCACAACCTAATGAGCCTTTTTCTTCGGATCAAATAATCTTCTGGGAAAAGGGAACAGTATAGAAAACAATGTTTCAACCGGTATGGTAAATCATCAAAACTAAGCAACAAAATGCTCTCCACTGGCTCTAGTAATGGATGGTTAGTTAGATGCCAGTTTAAGCTGTTGTAAACTTTGATCCATTCCGATGAATTCTTGGAAGACATCAGATCACCTAAAGCCACGAGCGCAAGCGGTAGGCCTTCACACTTCTCTACAAGATCCCAAGCCAATGACTCAAGCTGTGATGGACAACATTTATTCTGGAAAGGTGAGAATGCTTTGCTGCTGAATAGCTCCCAAGCCTTTTAGGGGTTTAATGCGGTGAATATGACTTTGTACTCCATAAGAATAGGATGCAACGTCTTCGTTTCGAGTAGTAAGAATAATTCGACTTCCAAGCCGTCTATTTTGAAGAGATGTCTTTATTTCTTCCCAAAGTTTTTTATCCCACACATCATCCAACACAACTACAAATCTTTTAGACTCCAAGTAGTTGATTAGAACTTGTAGCAATTCTCTATAGGTCATGGAATTGATGTCTGCAGGTACCTCTTCCATCCTTCCTTGGTGGAATTCCTTGATCAAGCTTCTAAACAAGTCTTCAATCACATATGTTTTCGAAACAGTAATCCACGCACAACAATTGAAATGTCTCTTCACTCTTTCATCGTTGAAGGCCTTAGCAACTAGAGTTGTCTTCCCTGATCCGCCCATCCCGACTACAGAGACAACCATGTGCTCTTGATCTCCATTCACCAACCAATCCATCAGTTCTTGCTTCTTGCTGTCAATCCCTAAGAGCTCATCTTCCATAATAAAAAGTGAAGACTCTGCTCGATTCTGCACCCATCTGCAAGCATCATCACAAGTGCTACTACTAGTCCCTTGTAATCCACCAACACCAAATCTCTGATTCCTCTCCGGAATGGCTTTAATCAGTCTTGAGATGTTCTTTAACTTGCTGCTTATTTTGCGTCTAAACCACGTTCTTCGGAATGTATATGGTTTGGTGGAACCACCTTGTAAATCGACCCTCACGACTTCCTTGCTCATACATGTGATACATGAACTCATCAATGATGTCTTCAACATCATAGGCCAAGTCTCTGACGCTTGCAACCCACGTCGCCTCTCCTTCGGCCTGCGCCTTCTTTCGGTCAGCATCATGTAGGAAGGCCCTCATGCTCACAAGCTCCTGTTTAATGTCATCAATTTCATCACGAACACTGGCTACGGATGATGCCTCGTTCTCAAAAATGGTCACAATTTTTCCAATCAAGAGGTCTGCTGTGGGTAAAGCCATATTTGCCTTTGATTCAAACTGCATAATCACTTACAAATTCATATATGAAAATTAAATGAATCAGTATTTACAGAAAGTTGGAAAAGCATATTCCTGGTGACTGATTTGAGTGGAAATCAAATAACAAAATAGAGAAGTTTGAACGATGAGCCAAAATATTCAAAAGTGAGGATTCCAACTGGTTGTGCGGGAATCCAGTGCAGTAGAACGTGATTAGAAATTGTTCCATTAGTCAATGTTGGTTAAGTAATTGTAAGGCTATCTTGGAAGAATAAGTCAATGTGGGAATGCACTATTTGTGCTGTCATGATATATATGTCAAAGTCTACTATCTGCGCTGTGATGATATACAAGTCAAAGTCCACTCTTCCATATTATACAAGGATTGTGCTTGCAATCCCCCTTTAGTAATGAGCTCATTCCTCTACTTGCAAATAACGTATCTTCACCATAGAAATTTAGTAATCAAAACCATTCAATTTCTTAAGTTTCATTTGAAGTTCAAACCTACAAAAACTAATTTGAATCGGAGTTCATTTAGTCATCCAAGTTCATCAAATAAATCAACGGTGTAGGTAGCAAGTAACATATTCATGATTAACTATCCATAATTCGGATGACAAAATGAACTTTGATTCAAATTAGTAATTGTAGGGATGATCTTAATGAATTTGAAGGAATTGAACGGTTTTGATTACTAAATTTCTATGCTTCAATTACTTATGCTTACTAGTGATTAGAAGACTTTCAATATTCTTTGTATCAACAACCCTAGTTTGTTTACTATCCAATTAGTTATACCAGAATATGACATTTACCAACAAAGTTGTATGATATGTTATACTAGACCAATAATTGGTAATAAATTAGGCACTCCGCATTCACATAAAAATTTAATATTAAATTACTTATGTACTTATCCAAAATGAGTATTTAGGCCCCACATAAGATTCATTATTAAAAAAAACTTATATTCTTTTCTTCACACTATCAAAGCCACTCTCTTCAAGCTCTCATATCCACTCTCACCTTCCATTGTAATAAACGACACAATTCATTGCAAAATCATATTATCACAGATCACCGTATGTTTATAATATTTCAATTGATTGGCAAAAATTTATTCCGAAAATTTGAAAACCTCGAGAAAATTTGGCCAAATATTTCTTTCAATTACTCTGTTTATAAAATGGATCAACATACATTTTGTACGACAAATAAATAAGAATAGATGAATTCTTACTTCAGTGTGTAGGATGCTTTGTTTGAGAGACATTCGAGGCTGATAATCCAACAATATTGGGGCTCCTGAGCTGATCAAGCAGTTTCTTACCACGTCACAGCAAGTACTCAATGTAGAGGAAGTTTTTGTGGTCTTCTTCCTTCGTATTGGGGCGGAACTCATTTGATACAAGTGACTCAATCTGCTGCCAGTCTTGCGCAAATTTTGTGCGGGCTGCCCTCAGAAAACCTCTGTATAGACTTAGTACTTGCTTCTGCATCCCAGAAAGCCGCCTTGGTGCACTGGAGGCTCCCATTGCATCTTCTTTTGTTTGGCACCAGATTTCTTTTCAAAGAACTTGAAAAGATTATAGGAATCATTCACTTATGTTGCTTCTGCTGTATAGCAATACAAATTAGTATGTTTCTTAAGCTACAGAAGTAACACAAAATCTACCGCGCAAAAAGAAGAACGTTCCTATCAATGTGCAACAACGCATATTATTACTTTAGTCTAAAGAAAGCATTGGAATTGGCACTGTTCTTTACTGTTCATTGTACCTGATTTCAGTTTATTTACAAGATTGCCACCGCCTCTTCAGTTTCAGATTGAAAATTTCGATTTATTTACGAAATTACCACCCTTCAGCGTGCACTTGTCGAGCATCGTAGAAAGCAAACCCGACTTTTGTTCTAGAGATCTCTTCGACGACAAACCCATGTTGCTCCAGAGCTCTTCAACGACAAAGTCGATTCGGCGCCTCACCGTCGCACACCTCGCCTTCCCCTCGTCGTCGCACACCTCGCCTTACCTCGCCGCCGCACACCTCGCCTTACCTCGCCGCCGCACTCCTTACCAGAACTTGAATCAATGGTAACGTGCCAATTGTATATATTTTTTGTCGATTTTTATCATTATTCTGGAAATTAGGGTTTGATCTAAATTTGGTGTGGCTGTGCTTCAGCCAAAACTCACGGATTAGGCTGAGATTGAGATATATGGGAGGATTTGTCGACGGATTTCGGGGAGAGAGGCGTGGGATGGCAGGGAGGGGAAGGGAGAGGGAGGAGTGAGGCTGCCAAAAAGGGGTTAGGGTTGATTTTCTCTCCTCAAATCAATTGTTGGTGTCGGTGATTGAACGATCATTGGTTAGAGGGGAACTTTCATTAACTTTGTTTCGGAACCGGAATGGGGTCGATGGGACCATGCTCTGTTGCACGTTCAGATGAGTGATTTCAGGGATTTGGGGTAGGGAGAGTGATTTCAGGGATTGGTAATCCCATCCCGTGTTTTCCCCTCATCTCTGTCACACTCAACCTCTCTCTAATCCTTTCTCTTTCACTCTCTTTCAGACTCTTCCTTTCTCCCAACTCTCCATCTCTCAACTTTAGTGCTAACCCTAATTTGTTCTTTCATTCCTCAATTTTCTCCATCCGAGCAATGAAAAATCGAACTGGGTTTTCAGATTATTGATGCTTCACGGACAGAGAATGGTATCTTCCTTTGAGGATTTTGTATTTGGAGAATGTTGTTTCCTTTTTTTGGTGTGTTTTTGGCTGTGTTGCATAAGTTAGTCTCTTTTGTTCTAAGTTGTAAATGATTATGCTTGATTTGTATGCATTCTATGTTGGTACTGAGGTTTACAATTTTTTTATTTTTTCTCCCCAGTTGTTATTTTCCTTTTATTGTATATTGTATCTTCTATTTGGGAATGCCTCTGTTTTTTTACTTGCTGAGAATGCCTCTGTCAGGGGTGGCTTAACAGGACCGCGAAATCTGGAGAGGGGCGAGGGGGTTAGCAGAGGGGGGATTGGGTATGTAGCATCAGGGCTAGGTTACCAAGATGGTGTTTGGGTGGGTTTGGCAGTGGGTCATATGGGGGAGGGTGGTGATGCACTCTGAACTCACGAAGGTGCACAAACATTACGAGTGCATCACCATAAAAAAAATTCATATTTATTTGTTATACCCTTCACAGCAAATAATTTACATGTGAAATCTAGGTAAAAACATGATATCTTTATAGACATTGAAATAAAGACAGCCACAGTCATACAGTCCATAAGTATTCCTCATCACAGAGTTTTTTGAAACTTAGAAGACACCGGAAATGATTCACATAGCAGATTAAGCTTATAGATGATATAATAGTCAGATAACAAAGTTCTCAACTGAGGGTTCGGAGAGACTTATTTCTATGTCCAATTATGAAGCATCTTTTGATTTTTATTGATATAAAGACCTTTTCTTTCTCCAATTATGCCTCTGTCAACACTTTTTGGTTTAAATGCACTCATTTAGTACTCACGTTTATCTGATAGACCAGATGAAAAAAGAGGGAAACATGGATTATATATGCACGAAGGGCACCACAACAAATGTGTGAATCTTCCTGCACCACCAGTCTCCGCAACGTTTTCCAAAACCCGCTTGACCGAAGGTAAGCGAATTTGGTGTTCTGGATTATATTGGAATTGAAATAGGTTTGGTTTCATTAACTTTTTGGGTTATTAAGTTTGTATGCTCTGATTGTTTTGGAATTTGAGTTTGGATTGAAATTTAATTTTGATATACAAAAGCACTCACCTTAAACACAGAGGAATCAGATGCTTGAGTTAAACAATTGGCTGATCACAAATTGGTATTTTTTTGGTATTCTTTCTTCTGATTTTTTGGGTTTTCATCTGGGTTATTTTCTGAACATGTTGCATTTATTTTACGCTTGGTTTCGTATACCCTCCATCAGTCAAATAAATAACTTCATAGAACCAGAAGCCACTGAAATGGCTAGTGGCATATATGTTTATTTCTATGTTTTCAAATCTAGGTTTTAGATATTTTTCTTTGTTTTGGCTAAATATGAAATTTTGGTTCCCAATTTCTTAAAACTTTAGAATTTTTTTTGCTATTTAGTGTGACAATATGGGTCCAAGATTGGATTCTTCCAATTTCTGGGCAGTGAAGACAGGGTGGTGACAAGAATTCCAACTTCTTTGTGGTGGAAATCATAGTTTCATTTTAGATTTTCTTTTGGGTTTATGAAATGAGTTGGAGTGATGTCTCATGATTATGTGAATGTTTTCAAATTGGTGAGAGAGCTTTTGGGAAAAAGGGTCAGAAAGGATTTGGAGGTGGAATTTGCAGAGCTAAGACGACTAAATTTATTAATATTCACATAATCATGAGACACGATTAGATTATTCGGTTCACAACTAAATTAAAAATCAAATTAGAAAACAAATTCAGGACAAGAAAAATTGTGATGATCCCCAAGAACATAGGAAGTAAAAAATTTTGATGATTAGATTTTGAAATTTCTTTTTTCCCAAATCCATATTGACATGGGTTTTTGGTTGTTTTAAAGAAGTGGAAGAAGACAATGGTATCTGCTTAACTCAAAGATTTTCTTTCAATGGTTAATCAGTAATAACAAGCGTATACGATATAAATTTCAGATTGAGTAAAGTTTGATGCTTTATGTGTTTAAATAGGCGTGTGAATTTTTTTCAAGTCATATCTTAAGCGATTAGTTTTTGTACACGGTATGAGTTAGTAAACATAATGACAGGAAGAAGACTATGGATGTTGCTCTTCTATTTAACACACTATATTTTGTATTTATATTTTGCATGTGATCATGTCCTGGAAAGATATCCGTTTAACACATCCTTTAACAGGACAAGGATGTTGCTCTTCTATTTTCATTCAGTCAACAGGGGGTTTCTGATTTTATATTTTGTTGTTTATATGCTGGAATTACAGGACAAGGAGTTGGACCCTGGATCTAACGACTTTCTGGGTTAGTAACTTTTATAATATGCTGAGTTTTTATTCTAATGATTGTTTATTTTTTATCGTACTCTCTCTCTCAATCTAATTTAACCCATATGTGCACACACAATCACAATAAGTTTGGGTTCTGGTTTAGATATTTATATTTTTGGATATTGGAAATTGTATTTTCTTTAGATTAATCCCAGAACGTGTACCATGTGGGTTTTTTTTTAAATTTATTTACTAATTTTAACTTTGGCTTTTAAGTTTGAGTTCTGGTTTTTAATATTTATATTTCTGTACAATTTGATGCTATGAAAGGGTTTGATAATTTCTGATGATTTCAATGACAACTGTTTCTTTTCCAAAAGATGATTGGGAAGCAGTTGCTAAGTGACGATTCTCCGTATCCTTTTAGAAGCCTTCTTCACCTACTATGTTTTGGTTTGTTATGAAATGAATTCCCTTTTACGTAAAAAAAAAAAAAAAAAAAGGTACAATGTTATCAAATTTGATTTTTATAATCATTCGAATGCTGGGAATGTTGGGGTTTCTTACGGTTAAATCTTTGCATGTATTTTTTTTCTTTCTAATTTTCTGATTTTCAGTTTTATCTTTTTTTCTTTCTCAATTATACCAAGATATTGCTTAATGCATAGACACATAAATGATTCAAAAAATGGGTGTACCAAGAGAAAAAAAAATGTTGGATTCTCTGCAAAGCGCCGAACCAAAGAGAGGAATATATTGTGTAAATATTATTGGTTATTCAAATACGAACTTCTTTTTTTGATCGCTAGAATTTCAGTATAAATAAGATATTAGTTAGATGTTATAGATGATCAAACTAAAACAAGTCAATTTGCCATACAGAAGCTCTACAAATCAATCTTCCTTTATTTTCTAACCCAGCGTCCTTTCATTTCATCTTCGTTCTGGAGCCCTCCCTGTTTTCCACATCTCCTCTCACACTACCTAAAGCCGAAACCAAACCCAGCTATGCAGGAATCAAATCACAAGTCTCCGACACCCACAAAGGTAAAACGCTGAAAAAAAAATCCCCCTCTGTCCTGTCATTCTCATTTTCAGAAGTTATGCAGACGGTTCCATGTCTAATGTCTTTGTGGGTTTTTCAGTGGTGCATATCTCGATTGACAAGGATGAACAGAAGCGGATATAACAACAGTGAGACCAATATGAGATCCAACAGAAAAAAAAAAATAGCGGCGGAGAAGCCGAGGGCTACGGATTCAAAAGGAAAAGGTATGAGCCCTGGCTCTGTACTAATATTGACTTGGATTAGATGAATTTTTGAGTTCTTTGCATCCGTGAATGAAGTTTGTGATCTCTGTGTGATCTCATTCACTGATCCCTGGATCTTGAATTTGTCTAATATGCTCATGGATGTGCTCTGTTTGTTGTCATGTACAAATTGGTGAATGTTGAACAAAATGCTTGCATGTTGGATCTGTGATTTGGGCTTGAACAAAAGTACCTCTGTGCTGCCTGGATCCTCCACTCCCAAACTTAGAATGAAAGGTTAGTAATAGCCTTTTCTTCACTTACTTTCAAAATTATTTTGTAAGTAATTTTTGTATCTGTGAGTCGTTTGATTCATTGTTGTAATTTTATATATTTCATGATTGCAAGACTCTTGGTATCATTAATTGTTGGTTTTGGTACTTAACATTTTAGGTTTAAGAAATATAATGCCTGAAGTCCTGTTATCAGTTTTTTCCATTAAAAATTTTCAATTCGTTCAGATCTTTTCAAATATGTATAATTTCTTTGTGCAATGTCTCTTTTAGTTTCTTGGTCAAGCATTTTAAATCATTACGAACTATTTAGTAAAAGTAGTTTTATAGAAATGCTTGAGCTTCTTGGAATAACTTTTGTTTGCAAACGTTTTCCAACTTATTTGTTATCAATATTGTTCCTATTTTTGAAAACCTTTTTTCAAGTCTGCTTGAATCAGGACTTATCGAATCAAGGCAGCTGCAAGGAAATTTGAGCTTTGGCATGTATAGATACGATTTTGCAACGAAGCTAGGTACCTTCTAGACTTATTGGATGTGAAGATTTGTATGATCGAATTTGTGATTAATATACTTGAATTTTATTAAATTTTTCATGATTTGATAGAGTTTTTTCGTTTAAATTTGTGGGTTTTAGTTTAAATTGTGGGTTTTGGAGATTGAATATGTAAAGGCTGCTTGAGAAACTAACAATATACAAAATTTGAATGATGCTATTTGTTTCTATCTTTTTTTCTGAATTTGTCTGCTATTGGCTATTCTGATTTTCTCTGGCTAATGGACTCTCTGAAAATGTGTTTTGGCTTTTTTAATTCAAAAACTAAAACTCATTTCGTTTGTCGACGATGATTTGTTATGAGGTATTGCTATAAAATGGAGAAATTAACACTGATTCTATTACTATATGTACATCAGTTTGTAATATCTAATCTTAAAATATATATATATATTTTTTGGTAGTAAGAAAAGAAGGCACTCAAATTACTTCTGCTCCAACCCATTTCAACAATTTATCAAGCTTTAGTTGAAGCTCCTGGGAAGCATATCCATTATATTGCCAACCTTGAAAAGCCTTGGTAAATAATGTCAGTTGTTGCTTCTCCAACTCTTTTCCCTAATTTAAGTTTTTTAAGCTTCATTTCCTTTTTCCTATATGTAGTTTTGATTGTGTTGGGAGTTAGCAGCTTTGGTTTCGACATTGTTTTGTTTGTGATAGATCTCAAAATTTTTGCAAATGTTTTGCAAGTTGAGGTGCTAAAGAATTTGCATTAACTTATTTTTTCATTTGCCCGTGTTCTAATCCAAAAGGTTTAAAGTTGGTTGAATATTACAAACTGGTATAGGTTTGGTTATAATAAAAGAAGTAATATAAATTATTACTATGACACAGTAACATTGAGAGAGGTCTTTTATTAATCTCTCTATCTATAACAGTACCAAATATATCATAGATGAGACAAATATTTATAACCATGTTTATTAGGGTGTTGGTATCCGCCAGGAGGGGTAGTTTACCTTGGGGGTTGCAACGAATGTGGAGATTCGTTAGACCAATGATCAATTGATAGAAATTATCATTAAGCCAAGCAAAAATGAATATTAAATCTTAACATTGGGAGAATACTAGGAGTCTTTTTTTATTTTTTTATTTGCCAATTCTAGGAGTCTCAAAACCAAGTAGTGTTATATTTTAATAAATTTTTATTGATCGACTGGAAGTAAAAATCATATTTTTTTGGCAAATACACACACGAACTTACACGCCTAAATACTCATAGCACAAACGAATGATGGACTCAGATAAACACCCACAAATACATATACTACACACATATACTAGAATGGTTTCTTCTCAGAATGCTTATCAAGACCTTTAGTAATAACCCTTCTGAAATGGTGGATGTGTTGTCGATATTATTCATCAATTGAGTATGCATGAGAACTTCAAGTAATCGTTGCCATAAAAAGTAGAAGTGATAACTCACACCAGGAATCAGTTATCTCATCAGCAGCTTTATTTTTATCTAAGATCGAATTTGATACCTGTAGGTGTATATAGGTTAAATCGATTGTTAAGAAGGCAATTTAATCACTTTTCAACGTCCGATATCTCCATCTCCCTGTTCTAAATTTTTACTTACTTGAAATGAATAGATTCTAGGCGTTTCATTTAGCAAAATGATTTGTGGATAGTGCTAACTCATTTTTCTTACGTTCATAGTAATATGGGCACTTTTCTTGGCAATATAGTGCGTAGCGTAAAATTAGAATGTGATTCAGTTGTATTGAATTTGTTCGATTAACCACTGGTCCATTTATAGTTCATTTAATTCATTTAATCTTTTGTATTAGTAAGCTACTGTGTTGTGTCCTTTACATTTCTTGGTATACTATTGATATGGAAAACATCATCTATCTATTCTATTTATCGCATGATATAAGAATCAAAGTAGACTTGGCATCACTTCCGTGGTCTTTTTTGTGTTAGCAGATGCCATCAAATAGGCAAAATCATATCGGCTACAAAGTGCAATGAATGTTATAGGTTACTAAGTTTCGCCATATGCCTTCATTGTGGCATTGCCCTATCTGTCGACAAGTACGCATTATAAGTTCACTTTGTAGAATGATATTAAGTTGACTTATGGAATAATATAAGTTTGTGTCATACATGAAAACTATGAATCCATTTCATCTTAAACTACTATGTTTTTGTTCAATTGACTGCAACTTATGCCGCAGTTTGCTTCACAAACCTCAACGGTTAGCTTCCATACAATATGATGCAAGTTTGAGGATATCTCTACATCTTAATTTATGCTCTCTGGTTGCTTCAAGTTTGTAATTTTAAGTGCTACACTGCCACTTGATTTGATTATAAAAATGTAAAACAAAATCCATCAATGATTTACAAATTTGTATTCGATTTTTGATGTTTTTCCAGTGTAAGGCATATGTTGCATAAGCATGTAAAATGGTACAAATTATTTGGTTTTGGACAGGAAGCTTTGAGTATTACAAGAAAAATCAAGAAAATGTGTCACTCCTCTATTCCTCTGTTCTTTCAGGATTATGTTTAATTTATTCAGGTTAAGTGTGTCTTATTATGCAGTTAAGGCTTGTGCATTCCTGGTCCCGCAGCAAAGCGCGGGCATATTTTCTAGTCTATTCTAAAATTGAGGAAGGATTTGACTGTAGCTTAGCTACAGTCAAAAGTTTGCCCTTTGATTTTGCTTTATTTACGCCACTGCTATCATATCTGTGGCTGAGTTGAAGGGTAATTATATAAAATTAGGAGGGTAATATTGTCTCTGAACAGCTTTCAATATATTTACAATTTTGCCAGTTTGTTGTGAGATGGGCCCTTGATTTTACATTATTTACATATCTGCCATTTTCGAAAGGCATGGGCTGCAGAGACGGAGAGGGAAATAGGCGTGGGATGGCAGGGAGGCAAAGGGACAGGGAGGAGTAAAGGCTGCCATGAAAGGGGGTTAGGGTTGAATTTTTCTCCTCAAATCAAGGGTTGGTGTCGGTGATTGAGAGATTGAGAGATTGAGAGATTGAGAGGGATGGGAGAGAGACAGAAACACACCCATTTGGACTTCATTTCCCCTTTCTCAGACCCTAGCAGCCACAACACCAACTCCCTGATCTCTGCAATAGCGTCGCCGTTGGCTCCTGCTTCCGAAAACCAAAACCGCACAAACCTGGATTAAAGATGGCTCTCAGAGGTCTTCAAAGCTCGATGGGTACATGAAGAGATTGGAAGATGAACTCAGATTTCTTCCCATTTTCTCCTTCCCCAAAACCCGCCACTGTGCTTCCCTCTCCAACGCATTCAGATCGAACGCTCCGATCACGTTCTCTCCTCGGTCGATTCACCTCCGGGTAAGCGAGATCTGTAGATATAACTGTTTGTGTATGTATAGGTTACAGTGGGAGAGATATATATATATATATATATTTGTTTGTGTATTTGTGTGATTTTTAATGGATTTGAATTTGTGTGTGTATATATTTGTATAGGTTGTGGAGATCGGAGAGGAGAGACGGCGGCATGGCGAGTAGAGTAGACCACGAAAACGACTACCTGTTCAAGATCGTGTTGATCATGACTCTGGTGTGGGCAAATCTAACATTCTCTCTAGATTTACCAGGAATGAGTTCTGCTTGGAGTCCAAATCCATCATCGGAGTCGAGTTCGCCACCCGAACTCTCCAGGCAAGTTCGCTTGCTGAGTTTAATCTTGATGTGAGAGTTGATTTGTATGTTGATTTGTATTTCAATTGTTTGATTTTGTTCGCAGTGTATGCGGTATTTGTTAGTGATGGATTGGATTCTATGCAGTTTAAATTTCAGGGGGTTTCAGAATTTGAATGATTTTGGTTGAAGTTTTGTTTGGTGGCCTGGAGATTGTGATGATTGTTTGGATTTTGTTTCGGGATTTACGTTGTTTAGAGTACATCGAAAAATTTGTTACTAATAGACTGGTAAGCGGGATCGAATTCTCTTTTTAGTACTTTGTTTTTAGATGGTTATCAATGGTTAAATAAGCATGATGAACCATTGGGATAAACATCCATCTTTTTGTTTGACGGAACAGGAGATTTACTTTACACTAGAACTGGTTGGTAGATTCTGTCTCCAGGAGTTTGATCATTTTGCTGTTATTGATCTTTAAGTTTATACAACACACTAAGGATGGATTGCAGAGTTCAAGAAAGAGGAGTTGATTAATGAGCACTTACATGTTGACGCTTAAGTTTGATTCTTAATTAAACACAACTTCATATCGTGGAAGTTTATGTGGAAATACAGCTTGGTGTCTGCATCCTTTAGCATAATAAACGAGTATGATACACTAACTGCCCAATATTATTGTTTTTAAAGACTGTTGGTTAGTTAGATTTCCAATAACTGGCATTTGGTTTTTTAAATGTTTACCCATATTTTCACTTTTTATTTTAATTTATGGATTTTTGGCGTCTGATTTTGGTTTTTGCTGTTTTCCCAGTGATTGACTTCTTTGGCATTTAATTTTGGTTTTTGATGTTTTCTCAGGGATGAATCTCTTCATTTTGCGCCCTTAGTTCTCAATTGGATTCACGGTAAACACCCAGAAATTTAGAGGTACGAAAATTTCATTTTTTTTGTGTTTTTTATTTATTTTCAGTGTTAATTTCTGATTAAATTATTATGAGTTTGCTTGGATTCCAGAGTAAAAACCTTGAAACTTAAAGGTATGAAAATTTCAAATTTTTTATTTTTATTTATTTATAGTGTTAATTTCTGATTAATATTATTCTTCATAAACCCACTTAGAATCTTGATCTGAGTTTTGCTTAAACTCAACTTGGGGTTTTATAATTTTCTGGTGCACCTGTGGTTAAATACAACTGAATTTGATTTTATCCATAAGTGCAGATCTTACCCCGTAGTGCTCAATCCAGAGAATTGGTACTCATAATCAATAAGATTCATACGGGTTATTGGTATCAATTTTGGTTGCAGCAATGCTATTCTTGCTGAACACCTGCCATGTAAGTGATTCAGATTGTAGTAATTTCCGTACAATTTAACACTTTTGTGTGGAATTGGTGCAACTTTTGGGGTTTGTGCGATGTTATTTCCGACTCAATATCATGGTCTTCAGTAACTCGGCTGGTAATTTTTGGCATAATCCATTTGAAAATTTTAATTGTTTTTGTTGTTGGTTATGTTTATTTGTCGAAGTAATGATTTTGGTTTCATGGTCAGGGCTTTATGAGTATGATCATGATGCGTCAAAAGCTAGGGAGCTTGAAGTGGCAATTAGAATGAAAGTGATAATACATAATAAGTGTTTGGTTTTTGTTTTTGTTTTTTTTTTGTTTTTTTTTTTTTTTTTTTTATAATTTCTGCAGCAAATTTTTTGAATTTCTTATTTTTCAGACACCAAATTCCATTTGAAAAGAGTAGGCTGGTTAAGTAGCTTTGATTTATTTGTTGGATGTCAGCATGTGGGACACTTGAGTTTGAGTACCATTGTCTGTTCGTCTGTTCCAATATGATAATGCAATGTTAATTTAGGTTATAATGATGAATCTTTGTGTTTAAGATTTTATTTTTATTTTTATTTTTTTATGACAGATGTGTGAGGCATTAGCCATGATTTCATCTGGGCAATTACGAAATATCAAAAAGTATCCTCTTTGCTAAGGATAACACACTCCTGCAGGAACTAGACATCCCAATATTTTGCAATCTGATTACAGATTATCTACCAAAAGTACATACCTCTATCAATTATATGATATTTTTAGTGGCTTTGTTCTATGTTAGATATTGACATACAACATTAAAATCTCGATCATGGTCCACTAAAAAAGTATTAAACGTGTTATAAATAGAAACACATTCTAACATGGATTTCTTTTTACAATGGAGACCAATATTCAGAACACAGTGAACAAGTTTTTACAAGCTAATCCTGCTGGTAATAGAAACCACATCCTTTGTCTCTCTGCTTACTTGCTTTTTAACATGGAGAGAAATTTAATCTGTATTTCAGAATTAGTGGTCTTCTTGATGTCCAACTGTAGGGGTCTTGAAATTGTATTTTGGAATTAGTGATCTTGATTCAGAACAAAAGGACTCTGAACAGTTCAAAGGTTTTGGGAAAGAAGTGCTTTTTAATCAGGCCAATTGGGTCCTCCTAGCAGTACAACCTCGAAAAAGTTTTAAGTTCAAGTCCGATAGTTTTGGCAAGATGCAAATGGGTTTTGATTGGGAAGGTAACATCATCCTATATATGTTTTGAAGCAATTTACTTATTTGCATTTTTCAGTTTTATGTGTCCCAAGAGTTTTCAAGTGTTAATAAGGACCTCGAAAAGGTTAATCAGTAGTGCTTTAGTGGTACAAAATGTGAACATCACTTTGAGTGATTAATATAAATCTCTACGTTTTCATTTTGAATGTTGAAGTTGAAAATTGCTTTGGTTAGGATACTAATGATCAGAAAAAAATAACTTTGACTAAATTTCTTTTTTGTTGTTTTCATATGCTTCTTCTGTGGTGGGTTTTGAAATTTCAGTTGTGGAAGTGAAATTCACTTCTCAAAATAGTTACGATAATGCCTATTTTTCTCTCAAAACTCTTTCAGCCGAGTTGCCACAATCAGTGATTGAAGCTCTCCATAACGAGTCAGACATCAGCCTGATACACTACTCTCACTCTTTCCTGCTTTTAATTTTGATTGTTTATGAACTGTGTACTGTTTGCTTTTTATTTGCAATTTGTTGCTGAATTTTATTTTGATAATTTGTGAATTTTGTTTTATTTTTTGTTCGACATCTTTTAAGGGTTATTGCCCACAAATTCTCTTTAGGCCAAACAATAACGTTAGAAGAGCTACGGATTTCCTTTCAACTGGTTCCCTCTATTGAGTGCAAACGTGCTCCTAATATACTTGAATTGATTCTATGTTAGTATCTTTTCTGGGATTGTTTGTGGTTTTGTGAGCATTACTTAGGTAAAACGTGCATTATCTAAATTGCTACATTTAAGAATTCGATTGTATTGCTACAACAATTTCAATTAATTTTTTTGTGGATATTATTGATGTAGGTTGTCGATTATAGTTTGAAAACCCGCAGCAAAGCGCGGGCATTCCTGCTAGTAATAAACTAATTTCCAGATACAAATACTGATACAATACAAGCATTGGGAAATTCCTACAAGTTGTGAATTAAACAAACAAAAGCATGTTCTACATCAAAACACGAACAACAAATCCAAATCCAACTAACGTCTCAAACACTAATGTATAAGACTAGCAAGACTGATCAAAGATATATTATAGTTCATATCGATACGGAAATGATGCGGATGAACCCAGATTCAATACTTGATCCTAAATCCAACTCACAAAATCAACAGAAGACAAACAAAGTCAAAGAATTGTATTCATTGTTCAAACTTGTTATCAAGTTATCTGTATTAAACTAAAACAGTTGAATATAGTATTCAACTGATTAATAAGACACTGACTCTTTTATTTATCATTTATTATTTATTTTGTTCTGACTCCACGATAGTTTTCAATAATGCACTCCTTAGAGGACTTTCATCATACAGGTGGTGACCATGGAACAAAGCCCCCTGAATCAATAATCTGACACCATTTTAGGAATACCAAGAAGCTAATTTGTTCAAATTTGTTACTAATTCCATGTTTTATGCGATAAATTAAATTCAGCAAAATAACAGCATATAAGAAATTGAAAATAAAGAACACACCTAGATCTTGTAGAAGCAGAAATGCCAGAGAGAAAAAGAAAGAGAGTATATGTGTGTGTATACGGGCCTTCATCCAAAGGATCTCCATTCTGGGTAAAAATAGAAGGGCTAGCAATCTCTCCTCTTCTTTCCATCCCTTCCATTTCCACTGCTTACATTCTTTCTTTTGTCTTTCTCTTTCTATAAAAAAAAAATATAAAATGTTAACGTGATTTGACCGTGACCGTTCAAATAGAAAAATAGGGAAAAAAAAGGTAGAGAAACCTTCTCCAAAATAAAGACTAGTTTAAGGCCCACCTTACGTGAAATTTCAACGATTTGAAACCATTTGCCTATTTAATTATCATGATGAAATTTCATTGTTTCTAATAGAACAAAAAGTTCGTTAATTTCTTAAAACTCAATTATCTCAAATATTTTCAATTTGACTAATATTCAGCATTGTAACTAGTAAAATTAACTTGTGTTGCGCATTTTATTATTGGTAGTGCGCATATAAAGCTGGATATCCGTGCAGGTACGTTTGATTAGTGTAGGATTTTTAATAGGGAACTTTAACGAAAAATTTCTGATACTGTTCACTCTAACGAAAAATCACATTTTCACACTAATAAGTCAATCCTAGTACTATTCACTTTACTTTTTATTCTATTCTTATCGTTAAAATTCAAAATTTTCTAATTATTTTCATTAGTTTTTTTTTTTAATAACTAATTGCTAGCAACTACAAAGCTTTGGCTAGATTAATTGAGTCTGATTAGGGTTTTATAGTACTTGAGTTCGAGCACGGGCAGCATGACATTAGTCTCTTTGCCAATTGCTAACAGCTACACAGGCTAGCAATCCATTATCATCAATGCTTTTGGATTCTCAATGTCCTTTGAAAGTGTTGTCCCTTCAAAAATTAGTCTCTATAAGGAAACAAATTGCTGAAATAAACATTTTTTTCATTTCTAGATGTGCACTAATGCTTTATTTTCTCTCCATTTTACATGATTCAAGTGATACCATAATTGGATACAATGAAGAGACCTTTGTATTTGAAGAGACCGACGATGAGAATGCAACAAACCCAGATCAAACCCCCAGCGAATAAAGTATGGATCCCAACACTCACAAATAAATTTTCTTAACAATTTTTTTTTTTTTGGGTCTGAAGAGGTAAACGCATTAATCCATAGTAGGTTACAAACCAACTCAAATGAAGGCAAAATAACCCAAATACATTGGGGAAATAGATACATAAAACCCTAGCCCAATTAAACTAAAACGGGAACCCAAATCCCTAATTTTCGACTGCAGAAAGCAATGTCCGTCGCCGTCATCGCCACGAAAATCTTGCCAACAGTTACCGAAGTAGCAACACTAGAGAAAACAACCGAGTGGTGAAAACGAGCAAGACATCATAGCACAAACATACCAAACCCGCAATAAGAAGCACACCACATCTAGATTTCTTCACCAAAGATGCAGAACCAAAAGATTGTCACCAGATCCAAATCCCATTCACGAATCTCAGCAAATATATACAAACACAGTAACACATTAATAGAAGGTGAGGCTAAAGGCGTATATAAAATACCCTTACTTTAGCCGAAATTGCAGTTACACTTGTTCTCAATGAAAATCCAGCAAGCCTTGGGGGGGGGGGGGGAGGGAATAATGAGGGAGGGAAATAAAGTTGGCAACCATATTTGGCCTAGAGTCTATAGATCACAGCAAGGGATAGAGTGGGGATAGTTTATGGGGAAGGGAGGCAGAGGAGAAAAGTGAGGGGAAATGGAGTTTTGGGTGGAGAAAAGAACGGCCAGAGGAGAGGGAGGGGTGGAGAGGAGGGACATGAAGTCTAAAAGTGAGACAGACAAACTCACGGGAAAATTTGAGACAAAGCTCAAGAAAACTAAGAAAAATCTCAAGGAAAAATTGAAAAAAAAGAGATAAGAGGATCAAGAGAAAGAGGGAAAGAGGAGAACAAGGAACTTGGACAAGGATAGCCACGAACACCCAAGCCAAAGGCTAGGACAGGCGGCAAAAGAGTTTGCAAGGTTGAAAAACCAGAAAGTCTCACACGTATTAGTTTTTTAACTTAAACATTTTTTTTCCATCTTCTTGAATGAGTTATATATCCCTATAATAGGGAACTATGTCCTATAAACATTGCGTAATATAGATATGATTATTTCATTTGGGTTGTCCGTGAAAATGATTTGCATAATATGGACTTATAACTATTTGCAATTTGATGAAATCCATGGTCATTCCAATTCCTGTTGCAAAGTACTAGCTTATTAATCTGATTTGATTTTGCACAACCAACTAACCCAGTGCATGACTAAGTTGGTATAGGCTTATCTAACAAGAAATAGATTGATGATAAAGTCTAAACTTGGATTAAGCCGGGGGATCAAACTTGTTTATACCATATTTAGGGCCTCGTATTTAGACCTCGTATAAATACTCAGGGGACTTAAATGTAATTATATGATAAAGGAATGGGCAAATATGTAATAAGTGAGGAGTCCTTATTCTATAAAATGACCCCTCATCCTCACAATAAGAGGAGGCCAATCCCTAGGCCCTCTCACCCTCAAAAACTCTCTCATCCTCAATACTCTCATAAATACATAATCAGTGTGGACGTAGCCCAAACCTTGGGGTGAACCACGATACATCTTGTGTTATTTACATTACTTGCAGATTCATGGTCGGATTTACGTTGTTCCAAGACCTCCGATTTTGTGCATCAACATTTGGCACCGTCTGTGGGAAACGACACGAAAAGTTATGTAGTGAAACCTTCACAACCTCACCACCGTC